GTGCTGCCATTCTCCGGAACAGTGCCCGTTCTTGCACAATACAGATAATCAGCGAAATCCGTAGCCAGAAAACAGCGCTACTGAAATTTGCTCTAGGATCCTTTCTACATTTACAGACCAGGGTTTTAAATAGTTAGGAGTGTGACGTGTTTGATTTCTCTAAGTGGTAGTAGTCCACCTTGCACTAAAGAATAATTTGGCTTAAAGAAAAATTAAGTGGCACATCAATACAGAAAGCTTTTCCTGCAGTGATGCTGAACCTCTGATTTATACTTAACGCAGCTTTTCTGTTGTACGGTGCTGTGTTGCGTGACTTCTGAATGAATTCTCACACCTCCCCACAAGAGGGCAAAGTTAACTATGCCATGGGAGCCTAGACTTTGAATTTCCTAAGTGTTGTACAAAATAAATATTTAGTGTGGAGCCTTCTCTGTTAGCCTTTGCTTCCTGTCATCTTAAAAGAAACAGAACTAAAAACAAAGTCAACAAAACAGATGATCATTGGGAAGTGGATAATGTACATAGATTTATTTTTTTTAATATACTTCTTCATTTGAATCCTCGATCCTGAAGTTAGGCTGGGCAAATATTTGCATTTCAGGAAATTATTTTCAGTGACAGCAAACTGAGCTGAGACTCCAAGATCAGATTAAAAAATATAAAGGTGTTTGAGAGCTCAAAGAAAATGTCACTGTTGCCATTCAAGGTCTGCTTTTTCCCACACTCGCTTTTCTTCCTCTAAGGTATGAGGAAATAGTGGTATCATCAATAAATTATTTTTAAAAAATTCATTGCAGTTGAAAAATAATAATTGAAAAGGGATTTAAAAATAAAACTTGTTGTATATTACAAGCATTGTTTATTCTTCTGCAATTTTACTTGCTGAAGAACCAAGGGTGTCTTTTTCCTTCCTTTCCTTGCAGATTTGTTGTGAGTTAGCTGGAGTTGTTTCATGTTTACTTGATTTATTTTGTCTTTTTAATCCATATTGTTCTACCTATGTTAAAATCTCTCTATATATACATCTACAGGATATGTTTGAATGAGGAATATTATGAAGGTGTAACCTTGCCTGTCCTTGTATTTTGCATAGTGTCTGATCTTCTTGTGAGCTCCCAGTTTCTGCACTTAAACCCTTGGTAGTTGTATTCAGACACAGGAGTGTTGCCATGTGCGTAAATGGGTGGCCATCCTGGGGCATGCCTCCTTTATATATCTACAGTGCTTTATCGCTCAGGACAGACATTGTGACCCCAAATGTTTTACTGTATGTTTTGCATAGTAGTTTTTGGGGTTTTGTTGGGTTTTTTTTCATGTCCTTTGTTGAACTTCTGATTCCAGGCTGTGAACGTTGTCTCGTTCGCACAGTGTAGTCTGTGCGTCTGAAAAGCTACACTCCAAAGCCAGTGACAGATGTGAAAACAGCTGTTTTACAACAGTGCATAGGCTACAACTACAAAATGCCA